TATTATATCATTGAATTCAAGTCAAACAAAATCCATTATACATTGACCCATTTGTAACCTACTGTACAGCCGAGTGACATCCACTTCCCCACTTTTTTACAAATATATTTATTTAAAAAAAAAAAAACAAATTTTTGGCATGGGTTACGCCGGGCTGGACAGTTAGTTAATATGTATAATTTGTTTTATATTCGTATTATAATAGTAACCATAATAATAATAATAATAATATACACCAATATATTCACACATGACGCACCACGTTGTGTTGAAAACTATTTTTTGATTTCCGTATACCATATTTAAGTAAAAATTGAAGCATCGAGTAGGTACAGTATGTGTATAGTATAGAGTAGACTCTACAAGTCGTTCATATGCAAAGGTCAACGGCGCATGCACAATTATAATTTTAACAAATCGTATTACCTATGGTAAATAATATATTATGAGTACCTCCACTCCCCCTCCTTGAATAAATTGGAGATACGTAATGTTTATATATATATATATATCATAAATCATAATATATTATAATTATGTGGTGAATTGCGGTATCATTATAGTCGATATTATATTATGTGATAGTGTGTTAAATAAGTTTGCATGATGTATAAAAAATAAATATATATCGCACACGTGTACATAAAATGGGATATTTTTGTTTTTTTCTGAGACTCTGAACAGTACAAAATCATCTTGAAACGGAAATAATGAGGTGGATATTTTCGAGGAAACGTTAACTATTATATAATATTAATATAATATAGTACTTTATATTTTATATTATACTAAATATTATATTATATCAACTGCTGTAAGATCAACGAGCATAAAATATAATTCTGATGATGATAATAAACTAATAATATAGTAAAACTAGTAAAAGTGTAGGTACAACTATATAACATAGAATATGTAACATAATCAACAGACTTGATTTTTTTACTATTTTAATTTTAAGCTAACATTTATACTAAACATAAAATAGTATTCAAATATAAAATATAAAACGTTCACAGAGCCATTTTTCATTGTTCTTATAGTTTTATTTAGATTTCATACACCATAACCGGAAGTTATATTGGAATTTTCCCAATTTCATTTCACGAACGAGTAAAACATTTGAAGTCAAGTTAATTTCAACCAATTAACATAACTGTTTGCATTTAATTTGTATTGGCTTAACTTTTAACTTAATTAATTTTTGTTGATACTAACTTAATAAATATCTAATTACTTTCAATTCGATCCAAGTCAATTTAATTTATAAGTAAAGCAAATTTTTTTTTTAATTTCGTAGCCTAAATAACTAATTAGTAATAAGTAATAACTAATAAGTTATAATTATTATATCAGGCGTACATTTAAGAATAATAATAATGCATTTTAATATATAAAAATTAATAGGCACAATTAATATGCCCATTAACAATTCCCGAATATCCCTAGCCATCCGAATATCTGCTAGGTCCATCTGCAAATAATACATTTATTTTTCTATTACCTAGCATGATAGGCTGAATTAATTTTTGAAAAAACACATCGCATTTGTTCTATTATTGAGTATTATAAAATGAATAAGCCAATACCGATGTACAGTAGAACAATGTGAATAGGTTCGTTGTATAAATAGTTATGAATGAATATCATTGAATGACTGAATAAAAATACAACATTTTAAAGTATAATTCGGTTTTTATAAAAAATGTATTAATAGGTATGTATTTTGTATGTATATACAAGTTCAAAAGCTCAGCGTGCTAAATTCCTATTAATTCCAATTAATAATAAAAAGTGGCAAACTTTGTGAGCCTTAGACACTATATGATAACTTATGTCTTAAAATAATGTTATAAGCCATAATATATGATAGTATTATATCTATATGAATTATCTTATATGCGTCAAATTCCAATTTACAGTTAAATATTTTATTTAATATCTCAACGTCAAGAAAATAACAATATAACATTAATATAATACCAATAATAAAAGGCCATCAACTATAGTAAATAAATAGTTATATTATTTATACCTATAAATATTCTTTGTTGACTTTACACGTTGTGCTATACTACGTAGGGGCTTTTTACAAAATTTTAATTTTTAACGTGTTAAATGATTATGAAAGATGTTTTATTTTAAAAACGCTCATGACTCTCTTACAAATTTAAACATTGTAAAAAACAACGTACAAACATTGATAATAGTTTAACGTTTATAAGATCGATAGTACATAGTTACTCTAATATTAAAGCTAACAACACAAAATTCCATCTGCTGAACGTACAATTGCTATTTTTTTTCATGGTTCGGAGGGAGAAAATTCGCTGGCCGCTGACAAAGTAAAAAACTTATGCCATGTTAACTCTACGCCAGTGAAAATTACATTAAAAATAGCATGCTTTTTATTGAATCTTTGTTATTAATTCTGAAAGTTATTCCATATTAGAGTGAGCCCTTTGTAACCTTTTTTTATAGTAACATATATTTTCAAATGAAAAATCTTCTTAAATTAAAAAGTTGAACAGTGGTGACTGGTGATACTCTAATACTATAATAGTCATATGTATAAGCAAGATTAAATGACATCTATCAATCGAAAACCTTTTATGGCCAATATTATTAAACGTCTTATATATAGGTATATATTAATGGAGTAATCACACAGACCCACATCCATAAATAGTCTAATAGATTTTTTTTTTGTGATATTTTTAATTTCAAAGTATAATGACTATAATATTATATACGGCTATACAAGTAGCTATACTTTGACTTTATACAATAACTCCATCAAAATCATCCCAGTTATTTTTACCCAGCTTGTTATCGTACTGCATAAAAGATTGCTCTAAATAAATTATAATTCACTGCTAGTTGTAAATTATTTATGTGTATTTAAGCTGTTTTAATTATTCATGTATAAAAATTGGACGTAATAGACAACTTAAATACGCTTAAAAATTAATACCCTGCAGGCATTATATTATATCAAGTGGCTTGACACGGCTGTCTAGATTTTATATTGTTATGCTTAGATATTACAACTATATTAGGATTTAGGATCCTGTACCGGCTATACCTATTAACCTATTTATATCATACGTAAAATCGAAAAGCTATGGTTACTACTGTTTGAAATTATAGAGTAAATTACAAATTGTATTTTTATTACCTATACTTAAGTATCAGTTAAAACTATTTACAAACATTTTGATATAATCCTTACGTTAATTATAATTTATATCATAATAATTACTATTATACTACAGAAATGTACCTTTAGAACCATAGTTGAATCTAATAGTAAGTATAATATAATACTATCCTATATATTTATAATATAATAATATTATATACGATATACCTAGTATTTTTTTTTGTAGGTACACTTTACACAATGCCCTCATAATACTATAATATAGGTACTACATTATAATATACCTAGGTAATAATTTTGTACTATAAATGTATTGATTATTTACAGTTTATTAATTTCTCTACACCTAATAAATTTATGTTAGGCATTTTCCCCTTACATTATATAGAAATTATTTAAGGAATTCAATGAGTGGTACCATCCTGCAATTTACAATTAATTAGTTGGTCATCTTGATATAATTTTTACAACGCGTATCGGTTTCTTAATATCCCACAGAAAATTGTCATTAATTATTGTGATAAATCAATGATTAACATAATAATATATCAAGACGAAAGAGAGAAGTTCTTTAATAATCCTTAATTTTATAGCAACGAATAACAATCGCACAAACATAGAATAATAATGATAATCGGTGCGATATAATATTATGCAGCCGTCTAAGTATAAATGTATAGGTAATAATGTAACATAATTCACCGATCGGCACATATTACCAGTATAAGTATATTATAAGTATCGGTAATTATCGACAAGTACCTGTGTTTACCTATTATTAACACTGTCAGCTATAATTTATCTTCTTTTTCCGTGACTTGACGATTGAATTCGACAGTAGTTTTCTTATCGCTCTCGCCTCTCGTTTCTATCTCCAAAAACTTATACACTAACCTATCTAACGTTTAACTCTGCTGCATTAACATTAAAAATTAAATATTAATTGTCAGGAAAATCTGTTTTGGTTTTAGTGTCAACAAAAATAACCATAATTTTATATATTATAGAAAAAACCATGATAAAATATTGTTATAAGTATTATAAGTAGGTACTTATTAATATTACTGACAGTATATAACATAAAATGCATTATGCTGTAGTTAGCGGGGCTGCGTGTTTACGCATGTTCACGCTTATTTATGCGGAACGACTAACGACACAAATATTATTATTGCGTTAAGTATGTACAGTCGTTTGACACTCCGCGAGTAAAATACGGTGCGGTATGCGGAGAAGAATGCGTTCTGCAATCGTCGGATCGTGCAGTGATAATAGTTTATAATATAGTAAGAACTTTATCGTTCGTTTTTCCAAAAATATTACATATTATAATGTAGTTGTAACAACCGTCATCAGTATACGGTACGAGTTTGCAGTGCGTGTATACCCGTGATTGCTACTGTTTACGGTACACCTAAAACAGTCGCCCGTAAACGATGACACAGACGGTAAAGAGAAGCACAAGTATTATAGTACGCTATATTCCATGAGTAAATTATTAGTATCATAGTATAACAATGTTATAATTAAAAAAAACAAAACAAAACAATAACCAAATGGGACACGATTTGAAAACCCGTTGAAAAATAATATGATAATCCGCAAGGTCATCTGAGACGGCCTACTAGTCGGGTTATCATCACGCGCTCGCGCCCGCCGGTTCGCCCAAAGTTCATCAGATAACGAAAAGAGCGCGCGCCGGCTTATCGACCGGTCCGGTCTCGTGCACCGATCGTTTGGTGTCCATCATTCGCGAACGAACGTCCGAGTCGAGTGTGACCACCGCATCACCACCGATCCCGACCAACGACCGTTCATCACCAGCGACATCACCGACATGGGCGTTTTGTACGACGTGCTGTTCAAGCCGATCGGCCGTAGCGACCTTTCGGCGGCCACGACGATCGCCGCCGACGGTCCGACAGCAGTCAACGACACGCAACTTCCGCCGGAATGGGTACTGGACAGGCGTGACAGCGGTTCGCTGGTCTGGCGCCGGTACGACCTGCCGCCGTCTTGTCGGAGGCGCGTCCGATTTCTGGACGCCGTACAGGTACGGGTGTTTGAGCGTGACGACTGCACCGACGATCGGGACGACTGCGCCGCTGACGCTGACGACGAAGACGGCCAACTGTGTTGGGCCGACGACTGGTCGTGGGACAAGGACGACGACGGTGGGTCGAAGACTTCGTACTGCGCACAGAGGGACCGGGACGATTATCCCGTGCTGGTCGCCGTGTCCGTTACCATGCTGGGACTGTGCATCGGTCTGACATACCTATTCGCGCCCGTCAAGTGGCTGTTCCACCAGCTGCTCGTTGACTGACCGTCAAGCCGGACGTCGGGACGTGCAATTGGTGCCGGCGGATTGCTGCGACGTCGCAACGCAACTCGTGCGTAAAGGTACAATTTTCCTGCAGCGTCGGACAGTGAAATAACACGGCGTCTAGGTGTCCTCAGCCATTTGTTGGCGTTATATAGTCGCCTTGTTCAGCCGCTGCTAGTAAACTGTACCTTTAATTACGTTTCGATTTCGTTTATCGATCGCGCTGAAGGTTTTTAAAAAAACTGTACTAACGCGATTTCTCGTCATTTTATTTAAATTATTTATTTTCCACAGCATGTGCATGAGAAAAACGATTCGTAGTATCTATTTTAAGGTCCACTCCCCCCCAAGTGGGGACATATTTATTTTATATATTACATGTATTATACGCCGTACGCATTGTACGTATGGTTTTCCGGGCATTAAAAGGTCCGTTAAAAGGCCACTGAGAGCAAACATTTTTCTTCCATACCGGTACCACTTACGTATGTAATATACTCGAAAACGTAGTTAGGATTTTTTACACGAAAAGTAAGTCGAATCGATTGAAATTCGAAATATACAAGTACGAGTATAACTGTATGTATACGAGTACGAATATGAGTACTATACTCTTTTCAGAATAAGAAGGAACCAGGCGGCCACGGACAAAACCGGTTTTGTTACGTAAATCTGGTGCGTTCTTATTCTGAAAAGAGTATATAGTTGACAACTTTCCGTGTATGGCAGGTATATGTGTTCGTATATAATATTATAGTAGTAAGTATCTAATAATGTTGAAACGCCAAAGAAACTTGAGAACAGTTTTCTACGTTTTATTTATTGTTTTTTTTTATATACATATTCTTAAGTCTTAACGTCCCCAGGTATCCATATTCCATATAATATTATATATTATTGTGAACCTGTGTCTACGAATAATAATATTATACTATTACTTATTATTATTATTATTATTGTTATTGTCATTATTATTATTATTATTATTATCATCGTTGTTATTGTATATATTATAATATTAATTAAATACCGCCGAGCTTTGTAAGACTGAAAAATATAATATAAAGGCATATTATCATGTATGTATATAAAAGCAAAATGTGTCGTTTACGTTTATTGTTATTATTATTGTTGTTGTTGTTATTCGACTTATCGCCTCGGCGGTGGACCGGAAATTACGAAAACGCAAAACTTATTACGTATACGTCGCGGCCGCCCTTAATGGGTATTTTCGCACACGCTGCGCATCGCTATACTGCACACAAATATAATATAACTACACGTCTATACGACTATACATATATGTAGTCATATACATTGAAAATGGTATTTTTATGTTCAATATGTATAATATAATATATAAGTGTGTGTGTGTGTTTGTGTGACTCAAAGTCTGACAAAACGATATGTTTTAACGGTTTAAACCCGTTCTTACGTTCAAATTACTCGACTTTTACTGGCTGATTCGTATACGATTCGTTATACGATTAATAGTTTCAATTGTTGTTTTTTTCCATTAACTTTAGACGTTTGACCAAAATGGTATATTTTGTATGTCGTTTGTATTGATACACTAATAACATATGTGTATGCCTTATTCTTATGGTCTTATGGTTTGTATATTATATAGGTACCTACTGCAAAAATCGCATCAGAGTTATTATGAATTTGAGTGTTTAATATTTAAACGCATCCTGTACCCTAAAAATCTTTAACTTTTGTGAGCCAATTCGTACAAATAAATATATAGTAATACAGTGTAAACTATAGAGCATAGACGGGAAATGGGTGGACGGGTGACTTGAGGTGGCAATTTATAATATTGTCATATTATACAAATCTATTAAAAAATAAAAATTAAAAAAAAA